GCACGAGTTTTCAGTGAAACATGAATATTCAGAAACAAAATGACACGAATTTTTCCTTGAATTTTCCTCACTTTGGCGCATTTTCACGGAATAATTTAACTGAAAAATCAAGTATTCTATTGATTTTCTGATAATTCAAACCGAAAATCTATGGAATATTGATTTTTCAATCACGAGATTTCCTGGAGTTTCAGTGGAAATTAAACATGATAAAAATTTCGGCGATTTGGTACGGAAAATTCAGAAGAACATTTTTAACACTGCAGATTCAACCAGTTTCAATCGTCAAATCTGTCAATTAAATTGCGTGAGAAAAATTTGAAAAAATCATGCACATTCAGCGTCATTAAAATTACATTTTCCACAGAATTATTACTTTTCAAACATTCCTTGTTTATAAATAAATAATTAAAACTGTTTAATCTTTCGGAAACATTTTTTTGAAAAACTGATTTCTGTTAAAATTCTGAATATGAAAAAATTCGTTACGATTCCGAACAAATGATTTCTATGGTCGAAAATTGATTGTTTATAAATTATTCATAATTCATTTTTAAATTATTTCATCAATCTTCTGCCAAAATATTTTCCAACGGTTCGATATCGCGATTCAAATTCAGACCCGCAAAGTTTAAATAATAAAATCATTTCAAAATTTCCGGAAACTTGAAGTCAAATGGGGCTCAAATGAAAGCTCTGATGTTATACTACAAAATTAAAAAAGCATTTCACTCGAGAAACAATAGCAAAAGTACCTGAATACCGTTGAACTAACTAATATCAATTTTAATATGACTTTGCAGTGAATACCAGTTATTTCTTCTTGACATACATCTAATTGTTAGAAACAGAGCTTCTCTAGAAACTAAAACTCAAATTTTCCGGGTACACCCTCAATTATATTCCCCCGCAGTGATCACAGTACCACCGCAAACCGTGATAGCCCCTTCTAGACGTACTACACAAAACAATACGAGACACCGCAGCAAGAAGCTACTGACTTCATCCCCAGCAATGTTTCACAGCAAATTGAAATGGATCTTCGCAACAGACTGGCTTTGTCTCCACCTCAGCTCCACTGAGCACACTGGAGTCATGTCAACGTCATTGTTGTCAGCACTCCTCCACCAGTGCAAATGCACCTCACAATGCCCCCCCGCCCCTCCACCCACTTAATTAATTCATAGTTTCGCGATAATGAATAAATTAATTGAAATATGCATTACTCGAATCATGATGTTAATGGATTTATCCGCCGTTGTCTTGGATTGAAAAAAAAAATTACCGTGAACAAAGGATACCTCGGAAGAAATAAAGCGGAATATTGGAGTCATGAAGTCTTTTGAGTCGCTAAAGACAAAGGAGTTGAGTAATTGGGAGAAATTGGCTGGGGGGAGCAGGAGGAGAGGATGAAAAGACGTGGATCAATGGAATTATTAACGGGAACTTATTTAACACTCGTTCAACGGAATTACTTCTATTCTCCGGTGAAAACGGGGGGTGTGAAAGAGAGGGTGGGAGGGGTTGTCGACTTTGAAAGCTCCACATCCACCATTTTAACCCTTAAACATTCATAGCTCGTAGGTACGGCTGAATGACGCGCGTGAGCAGGCATTCAGGGCTCGATAATATCTACCTATACTGAGGAAAATCCAATGAAATTGGAAAAATTCTTGATGACGGAGAGGAAATTTCTCATTTAAATTATCGATTGATGATCCTATTGAGTTGTAAAAGTTTCATAGAAAGACCTAGTGAACTCGCGAGGAAATTCGATTGAATTCCAAAGCTTATCTTCGTTTTTTTTAAATTGGAATGTTCAACAGAAAAAATTTTATAGCAAAAATCGATAGACCTCCATTATTCTGCACAACTTATTCTATTGAGACATTTCCTATAGAAACCCCTCGGCTGAAGTTACCCAAATTTTTTTCTTTGATTTTTTTAATGAAAAAAAAAGAAATATGTAAATATATTAGGAAAACCCTGGAAAATTCATGGCGAGAAATTCCCATAGAAAATGTCTCAATAAAATCGGCTCTTGTCAGAATTTCCCGCGCGCAAGAAATTATTCCTGGAATAAGACAGTCTCCGATGAAGAGAAATTCCGATTTTTTAAGCTTTCTTCCACAATTGAATAATTCAAACGTGATTTATAATGATTAACGAAATTATTCAGATTGGAGTATTATTCCCGGGGACTTATCTTATCCCGGTGCAAGGTGAATCCTCGGGTAGCTCTCAAAATTCATGGTCGAACAGTCGCAAGTGATTCAACGATAAGCTTCGTGCATCGAATATAGCTTAACGACCTCTGGGTTTCATGATGCAAATTGATAATTGAGTTTCTCTCCTGACCCCTTCGATTCTCACGGCGATATACGCCATTGCACACTGTCGATTAGAGGTACATTTTGCCGCTGGCGGAGGATTTCGAGTTATCAGTACATACGAAAGTGATAGGAAACCCTTTCACGTTAAGTATCCCGAGAGAAAAAAAATAATTCAAAATATATGAGAAGAAACATTAAAAAGCCCATCTAAAATTTATCGTTGTGCACAGAGGGCACAACGGGTCGAAATATTATACGACACGTTAATTAAAATGGATGAAGCCTCACTCCATCTCCCGGTAAAAATTTCTCTCGAACAAGAAAACATGTTTTTCTTGAAGAATTTTCCTCTGACATTTTTCGTTACAAAATCCACAACTGATCGAATTTTGTCATTCGAAAAATGTAATACCCGATGAAACTCGAAGAATTAACTCCAGACAAATGAAATTACCTGATCAAAGCCCCAGAAAATTGAATTTACACGTCGAGTCCAGTGGGGGAAAATTTCTCTTGGTATGGGGGCTGTGTTAACTTTGAACCACTACAGGCGTTATGACTTAGATATAAAGGAGCATATAGGTGCAGTTTGAGCACATATAACACGGGGTTATTACGTAATCTCACTAACGACCCTTGACACGCGGGTTAGTCCCTGGGGATCGGTGATTGGTCGTCGCCAACAGTTCATGATTAACACGTGAGGCTAGCACAGGCCTAATCGCCTCTACAGCAAAATCACCGGCGATAATAGGACACTTTGGTGAATATATTCATAAAAAAAAATAGTGTACATTAAGGATCGATGGCTAATGTTCCATAACTTGTGAATTTATCATTAAAGTTGAACTGAAATCCCTCTAATTTTCCCAAATTATCCCGAAAAAAAATATTCCACGAAATTACCACACGATTTTACTTTCTCTATTTATATTTCTTCTTGTCTCTCCATTCATCATGAAGAACTATTGATTAATTAATCATTCAATTATAATTATAATACGGATAATAATCTCGTTGTATTATAATTATGATTTTTAATTCAGTTATTCAATCGTTTTGTGAATTCTGGCCTCAAAAATATGTTTAAATCATCAGAATAAAAAGAAATCATGCAGAGGAAATGTCAATAGCCCTTTGGGGATTGGTGATTGGTCGTCGCCACATTAAGGATCAATGACTAATGTTCCATAACTTGTGAATTTCTCATTAAAGTTGAATTCCCTCTAATTTCCCCAAATTATCCAGAAAAAAAAAATATTCCGTAACATTTCCACACGATTTTACCTTCTCTATTTATATTCCTTCTTCTCTTCATTCAGCATGAAGAACTATTGATTAATTAATCATTCAATTATAATTATAATGCCGATAATAATCTCATTATATTATAATTATGATTTTTGATTCAATTATTCAATCGTTTTCTGAAAAATATGTTTAAATCATAAGAATAAAAAAGAATCATGCAGAGGAAATTTCAATAGCCCCCCACGACTCCTCCCACTTCTTTTCGCAATATTTTCATTTTATTTGACTCCTGTGTTACAAGATAAGGCTAGCAGCAAGGCTTCCACAGTGCGCGTGCATTTTCATAATTTTTTTTTTCCATCGTTTTTCCCTTAAAGCTTCATTTCTCCTGCGTACATTATACACTGTGTAATAATGCCTGGGCCATTGTACAATAACATTTCATTACGACATAATGCAATGAGGAATACATCGAGGAAGGTTGATGAGCGAAACAGCGCAGCGGTAGAACAAAACTGTTGATTTTCAACAAAAAAATGAAACAAACGAAAAAAAAGAGTTCTATCAATAGCTCGTTTCCAAGCGAAATATTATTTCCTATTTTTCACATATACACGCGACCCCCTTATTCACTCCATCACATTTTATTGGGATGAAAATTTCCGTGGAATTAAATTTCGAAAGAAAAAACATCCACAAATTATCAAGTGATTTCGATCAATAGCGGCGTCATATCAAATGTTTTTTTTGTTCCACTGAAAAGAAGAGGTACACCCAGTTTAATATTTTATAAACGTCACTCAAGCAAATTCACTCAATCATCTAGCCTCCATTCACCCCTACCATTTAATCTAAAAACAATGCGACATTGCAGTGCCACTAAATCAACAATAATTATCTCATTTTTCATTACTATTTTTCTTATTCCCAATCAAATCGACATGTTTAAGACAATATGTACATATTTATCATTCGTATGAGATGCTAAAATAATTCATTTAAAATTTATTCATTCGAATATTAATTATAATATTTAGTGGTTAAATATATTATAATCATTATTGTAACTGTAAACGTAAATAAAATTAGGCAGATTGATCTCGTGGGGTTGGCCTTTTTTTCAAACAATGAAAAATGCCTCTCGACATTATTTTGTTCAACAATCGTATGACTTTTTATGTTTGAATCTAAGCAATTATTGTAGGAGTTTCGAGAACTATTTGTCAATGCGAACGAAAAAAATTCGTAGAAAAAACTAGGGAATCCTATTTGATTTCTGTTGAAAAATTTATTTGTTTTTGGTCGATTCTGCAGAAGAATTCTGAATATTCACTTCAAAACCAGAAAAATTTCATTTTTGTATAGCCATCCCTCGACGCCAATTTTCCAAGTTTCTTCCATTGTATTTTTCTTCTCTTTTCATAAAAACATGAAAATAAAACGAAAAAAAAATCTTGAAAAATGTGAGCCGAAAATTTTTTATGAAAACAATTCCCATTGAACAAACCCAACAGATATTTCTCGCGAATTCTCTGTTTTTCAATTAAATTTTTTCGCGCGCGAATAATTAAAAAAAACGACTCAAGTGTAAAAAATCAACGACTATGGTGAATTCCGCAGACGTCTGGACGCACTAAAAACACTGGTGATAAAAATATCATTAAACTCGGTGCTATAATCCCGGAAAAACGTCAGTGTAAAGCTATCGTAAAGTCATTCTACTTAAACAATTTGTCTTTTTAGAAAAAAAAACAGGTGCGTAAAAATGTTTCATTCTTCTATTTTTTACGTGGGATTTGCGATGGCGGGCTTATCGCCGTCAGTTCAATATCAGAGTCCTCATGATGGATGCATTTTCCACATTCACGAGAGGCCAGTGAAGGATAAAAAAGAACGAATTTAATAGCAAATCGACTGCGCTTGATAAATATTCGGTTGAACGATATTTTTCAGTCATCACACTGATGCAGTTGCGAATAAAATCAATTAGTAATATTCTGAAACCCCTTTGATCGTTGAAAAAAAAATTCACCAAATGGTTTTGTCAATAGTAAAACAATTCATTAAAATTTCATAATGCGATTGAAGCAAAGCCTGTGAAATAGTTAAAGCTCTGAAAACTCGGCGAATAATCTAGTGACATTATTCGGGCTAATTCTCCTGTTGAATTATTTTCGATGAATAAAACGATGTGACTCAACACATTTCAATGGTCTTGAGGCTTCCTCTAATAGCATCCACATGATTCCAACGTTCGATCGTCACTTCCTAGCTCAATAATGGAGTTGCGAGATAACTTTCTTGTACGAAGCAGACGATCTGTGGATCGACAAAATTTCACTGATTTTTATTCCTGAATGAATGAACGAGAAAATAATTCGGCGAATGCAGGAGTGCTTGACAGGGGAAATAACGAGGAATTTTTGGCTGCGAGGAATTTTCAAGGCTTCTCGGATGGATGAAATATGGTGGAATTGGGAGTTGTATTACATGAGAATGCGAGGAAAAATTGCTCTGCTCCGTCAAGTCCAATGGTCTAACTTTAAACCGACAGATTTATTGGTTCTATCGATCTTATATCGAGTATTTAGCGAAAAATAATAAACAAGAACAAAACGAAATACCTCAACTTTTTTAATATAGCTCGAAAGAAGACGGGAATTCTATTTCTAGAATGATATGCGGAAGTCCCCTATTAATCAACGATAAGTTCAAATAAATAAACAAGATAATTATTTACCTAAATTTGCTGTTTGTTTCATCAATTTCAGCAAAGTCTTTCATATAAAAATTCTACAATCAAATATGAGAAATAACTGATTAGATGAAACAATTGATTTCAGATAAATACAAAATTCCCAAGTTTAACCGTTTCCTTTGTTTATTTATAAATAAGAAATAATTTTCAAAATTTGATGATTGAAATTTTCGAAACCTATTCAGTACAATATAATTGAACATCGTTAACCACTGAATTCAACCGAATAAATAGACGCGTATAAAACCAAATATATCATGAAAATTGAATGCAATAGCTTTTCAGTGCGAGCAGATTGCAATTCTTAACCAACTTTTCAATAGTCATATAAATTCACACCCGTGGGCGATTCTATTCGATATGACTAATCGGGTGTGTTCTACTGTGATGAAAAAAATTCAGTTTCGTAGCGATGAAAAAAGGAAAACAAACAAACGTAAAAATGCAATAAAAACCGAAATGAAAAAGTGGAGGCTCTGGAAAAACGGGGAGTAAAATAGCAATAAAACTTGAATCGCGATTCCCGGATGAATATAAAGGATGTGTCGACAGGTAGTCGGTCGGAAGGAGCGATCATCGTTATTTATTCTTTCGCCAACATAATTCGGTATTTATTCAATTATCGTAGGTGTTTCTCGAGGAGCGAGTTTAGCAATTTTGTTAGTCAATGTGGAGTGGATAACGAGGAATTTATCGATTTGAGGATGTGCAAGTACTCACAATCAGACCCTAATAATTTTATTATTATTATAAACATTCTAAACATTGAAAAATCTGGAAAAGTTACGAATTCTCAATTTATTCAAATTTTTTGCACTTGCGCATTCTTAAATCCATTGCGTGGATGCGAGTTCATAATTTGCGTGGAAAATGATCAATTGGCATTGGAAAATTGCGGGAGAGATGTGTAATAACAATGAAAGAAATTAAATTCGCTATCGAGTGACGAAAAAAAATAAACTAGACTCTTGAATGAGTTTTTCTTCAATACCTGAAAATCCAAGGGAGATAACAAAATTTTCATCAGAACCTTTTTTGTACCTGAGAAAATTCTCTACAAAAAATGTTTTTACAAAAATTCCTCCATCTCCCTTAGATTGCAAGATATTCTCCAAAAACTGATCTTCAAAAAGTGAAATTTTTGTTCTGACATGATTTCAAAAACGTGAAATAATCTGATGAAAAAAATTGTCTTACCTGGAAAAACGTCAACTGCCGGATTAAGATGTTGCCACCCCGAGCCGGGACTGCCGTACTGCAACAAAAATTCCCCACCAATGAATAGAAAATCTCCAACAAAGAAGCCGTGTGCGAAAGGAAAAAAAAATCAAATCACTGGCCATGCCAATCAAATAAGTCTCAAAGTGCTCTTCATAGATTCCATCATCACTCTATCAATTTCCACCTGCAGATGACTCAAATATTTGTTTTGAAATCCCCCCTGTTCAAAGCAGTGAAAGCCATCGGGATATGAAAACAAATAGAGAGCAAAAGAAACGAGATATCTATTGTGGAATCTCTGTGATGTATTTGCCGGGGGTAATCCACTTCGCGTTATTGTGATTTCATTCCACCCACGAACACGAGTTCACGGCTTGTACCAAACATTAGTCTCTACCTTGTTATTTACTTTTTCAGTTCTTCATATTCTTTGTTATTGAATTTTGCTTTTAATCAATTTTTTTATCGAAGAGCACTTTTGGAGAATCAACGCCGCATTTCTGCACTCGGTTTTCATTCCATTCTGACAATTTTATTGATATTGTTAGTGCCTTTTAATATTTTAAATAGTTTCGTAGTGAAGTGGTGCATAAACTTTCAAGTTTTTGTTAATTATTCCATTACCCCAGTAATTCTTGGCTAGAGATGTAAATTTTACGAATACGACCATTTGACTTAAGGCCCGGATGTACCATCTTTCGAATGTTATCTAGATTTTTTTTATCTTTCGTAATCCAAAATTGTCAACTGAGTCGTACATCATGTAGAAATTCCCAAAAATTATGATGGAATGTTAAAAAAAAATAGAAAAAATTCTGAACTTTTTCAAAGAGCGTTTTTAATTAAGATTCAGAATGAGTTGAAAAAAGTAGAAATTACAAATATCTGATTCGCTGTAGCAAATTATCTATTAGCTGTCATTTTCCGTGGTGGATAATAAAACACTAACTTCTCATGGGAAGTGACAGCTAGATATCTCAATTTTCAAAACAGTGGTATGTAGCCATCTGCCGTTTTTATGTGATAAAAGTGTGATTAAAAAATTCTCCAAAACATGACAACTTTTTTCAAAGAGCCTTTTCCGTAATAAATGTCTGTACAGTGTGGGAAAAGATTTACAAAATCAGTCTTCCCCCTGCATGATATTGGGCGACAGGTCGTTATTTGTCAGCGTAAATCAGATACATTTTTCAATTTCTTGTTATTCAACTTATTCTGAATATAAATTAAAAATGTTCTTTGAAAAAATTAAGAATTTTTTCTACTTTTTTTTGATTATTCATTCATAATTTTTCAAAATTTCTGCATGATGCAGGACTTAATTGACTATTTCAGATGACGAAAGATGAAAAAACAACATCGAGATAACATTCGAAAGATAGTACACCCGGGCCTTAAATAATAATTTTGTCTGGTGTTGCAAAATTTAAAATGTTAAAAACTCACAATTGCACCATTTCACTGCCGATCACTGCCTTCAATAATCATCAATTCTCGTAATGTTATTTTTCTAGTCATTCTCAAACGTTAGTACCAAAAACACTGGAACCCATAAACGCATTACATCAAGTTGTCACTCTGTTAACGTTTACGTATGCATCGTCGTATCATTAGACGTACGTACACTGGAGATATCTCACTGGAGTGCGAGTAATGGGGGGTGTTAGTCGGGTTGGGTGGAAATTAATGCGTCACCTCTTCACGGTGCCTGATGGGAAACGGGATGAATTGTGTAACGAAATTCAGGGTTGAAAATTAATCAACACAGCAGTATTCACACTTTCATCCACCGAAATTTCAGACTTTCAATTCACTCACCGGTGGGAATTTAAATGGAAAATATCGAAGGAGTTATACCTCGCTTTTGGTTAAAATTTAAAATCAATCTGAACGGAACCTTTTGGTATTCGCATTATGATTGTTATGAGCATTTCACCGATTTTTTCTCAACTGTTGCAATTTCGAATGGGAGATTCGGATAAAAAAACCCAAAAATTCCCGTCGATGTTTCATGTTGCATCGTTAACGCATAGGAATAAAATAACGGAGAGAATGGAGAAATTGAAGCGTTTGAATTCCTTCATTTTGTTGGGCATTTTGAAAATTTATTCAGTAAAATACTCATCACACCCTTTCATGATCATGTTATTACTGAAAACATCAACACAAAATCCGTTAATCATCAACCCTTAGATACCTTTCACTGAATAAGGGCGGGTTTCCTGTGATTCATGTTAAAGAATCGGAACTGTAGCCGCAACGTTAGATCTTTCCGTACTGTTGAGGAAATAATCGTCTCGTGAATATTGCACCAAACACTAACCCCTAATCAAGTCCCTTTAATTGGTTTTATACGAGGAGAACATTCTCGAGTAGTCAATTTGTCGTGTGGGAATTTTGCAAATAAAAAGCACAAAAAGAACAGAAAAAAACGAGAAGATTACACACGAAAAATGCGAAGAAAAGGCAGGATTAATCCTCGAAATTAGTGCATGACGAAAAATAACTCGGTTAGAAGCCGACAGACACATGATAATGAGAGTACTCACTGATGAGTGGCAATAAAAAGAACAATTAAGCAGTTTGAGGCGTAATTGGGGTTTCTGCTGCGAGAACTGAAAAACCTCCAGCACCAGCGCCAATTGCAATTGTCTTCGCTCGTGCCAATGCTTCTATACGGCAGACTATTCAGCAATCAATATTTAATTAGATGTTTTTATCAAAAATTGTAATTAGAGAGCAATCTTCAAGTCAGGTTTAAAAAAAATTTATAAAGTTCATTTTTGTTATTCTCATTCTTGAGGATTTTCCGAACAACCAGCTGTTTTGGAATTAAATTAATCAATTTAAGGCCCGGGTGTACTATCTTTCAAATGTTATCTGGATTTTTTTTATCTTTCGTAATCCAAAATTATTAATTAAGTGGTACATCATGTAGAAATTCCCAAAAATTATGATAGAATGTTAACAAAAAATAGAAAAAATTCTGAACTTTTTCAAAGAGCGTTTTTAATTGAGATTCAGAATGAGTTAAAAAAAGTGGAAATTACAAATATCTGATTTGCTGTGGCAAATTATCTATTAGCTGTCATTTTCCGTACTAACTCCTCATGAGAAGTGACAGCTAGGTATCTCAATTTTCAAAACAGTGGTATGTAGCCATCTGCCATTTTTATGTGATAAAGTGTGATTAAACAATTCTCCAAAATATTACAACTTTTTTCAAAGAGCCTTTTCCGTAATAAATGTCTCTCTGCAGTGTGGGAAAAGATTTACGAAATCAGTCTTCCCCCTGCATGATATTGGGTGACAGGCCGCTATTTGTCACCGTAAATCAGATACATTTTTCAATTTCTTGTTATTCAACTTATTCTGAATATAAATTAAAAATGCTCTTTGAAAAAATTGAGAATTTTTTATACTTTTTTAAAATTATTCATCCATAATTTTTCAAAACTTTTGCAGGATGCAGGACTCAAGTGACAATTTCAGATGGCGAAAGATGAAAAAAAACATCGAGATAACGTTCGAAAGATAGTACACCCGGGCCTTAATTAATAAATTTTCATAAAGATCACTTTTGTAAATTTGAAAATTTAATGAAAAAATAACGGTTTTAAAATGAAATGAATAGATTTTTTCTCCTTCTGCAAAACCTCATCTGTTCTGAAGTTAAATCGATCTAATTTCACTTCAGTAAAGAACTTAGCAATGAGAAATGGAAATGTTAAGACATGCGCAGGGCTGAACACAATGCAGGAATGGCAATAGTTACCTCTGTACAGCTATTGGATGAAGTAAAAAAAAACGTAAATCGAGTGAATGAATAATAGCGGATGATATTGAGTGAATGATGAATTGGCTAAAGCTCTAGGATAGACTACGAAGCGATTCATGGAAATTCAGTACTTGTATTCCACATAATCTACGTACTGGCTCCCTGAGGATCAATAAATTCGAGAAATTAAAGCGTAATCAAGCGGGGGTCGTCGCAGTATTGTCGGTAAACGCACTCGTCATTGAAATACTTGAATTATTCATGGAATATTCACTGAATATATATTCTCGTATTGATATCAATTGAATGATTGTTCTATTGAGTAATATGGTCACTTATCGTTGGAATTATTCATTGAAAATGCAGTTCATTGTTCATTATTTTCCATTGAATATTTGGAAATTATACTTCTCTTCATTTTTTTTGCTTTTATTAAGTTTATGTTGAGATGCATTCTCAAACTCCACTAGTTTTACTTTTATTTTCATGAATTATCAATTATTAATCAATGATAATCATCACAAACTCTTGAAATATTCAAAAGTTCAATTTTTGTCTAAATTGAAAATTTCTTTTTTGTTCATTTCAATTTTTCAAATCAAATTAGTGACCATATCACCTCTAATAACTCGATAATCATATATCAAGGTGGGTTAAAGTACTTACTCCTGTCAATATTACGCTGCAGATGAGCTGCAACGCGATGTCTGGCATCATTGAACTCGAGATGGAGGCCCAATCGCAAAAGGGTGGGATTCTGTTCAACCAAGTGTGTTATTTCCATTTCAATTTTATTACCCAGCACCTGCGATCTCTATCGTAAAGATAAAAATACATCTTGTATTACAAAGAGGCAAAAAGAGTTTGAAATAGAATGGCTGAATTGTTTTTATGATTTACCTGATTTGAACAACGGAATTCTTCGATGGATTTTGTATTCAGGAGAGCTCTGATGAGTCTCACCATCACCGTTGGGCTAATGAAATTTGTTTCCACACTGCGAATGCAAAAAATATATATCGATGAGTGTAAAATGTTTACTAGAGGAGTCAATAGTCAATTGACTATTCTATTGATTGGATTTTCCTACTTTAGTACTCTGAGAGTCGAGTTTTTCTCCATCGCCTCAGCCAGTCTCATGGCCGTTCTGTCAGTTAAACCAACGTTCGTTAAACTAAGTGCTTCCAAGTGTGTATTGCCCTCCAGTGCCTCAAAGAGTTGAATGAACTTTTCCTCTGAGATATTCTGAAATCAGCATAAAAAATTGATGAATAAAAATTACGAAAGAAATTCGATCCCAAAAATTATTTTCGTTTTCGACGAATATCTCTGAATCTGATGGAGATAGAGGAATTTTTGTGAATACATTTTTTGTGGAGAATTTCAAGAGCTACAAAAAAGGTTCCGAGGGAATTTTCGCCATCTTCTTTCTGTTCTGAGATATTCTCAAAAAACTGAAGTCACTAAAAACAAAAACGACAAAAGTAGCAATAAAAATGTCTATCTGTGGAAAACTTACTTTAATGTTGTTCAAATTGAGATCAACAAGTTCACGATCGTCCTCACGAACTTGTTTGATCGAAGCATCGACGTCTGTGTCATTAGGTGGATCCATGGGAAATACTTTAGGTTGGCTAGCTTTTGTGATACCATCCCACCCAAGACCAACAGGCTGTCCAGTATTGAGTAGTGATGCATGATACTGATCCTGATTCATCATCGAGTGGAATCCAAGAATGGCAGCCAAATCAATAATCTCATCCTGAGTTGCTGAGGAAAGAGCCTGCTCGTACTCTTCCCCAAGGTCAATGGCAATTTGTTCATCAGCCTGTTTCTCCTTGATGTTGTCCTGAGACGGTGGGATCCACTGCAAAATCAATAATCATGTGAATATGGCCTCAATTATCTTGTCAAGAATAACGTGATTTACTTACTTTCTTTCCTCTTACAACACCAGGTACGTATGGCTTCAGTTCTGGAATATCCGGTGTTTCTAATGCCTGTTTGTTAATATGCTCAATGAGTTTTTTACGATTCAGGGGACCCGTTGGGCTCTTGTCACACTCGTAACTACAACGTTGCGATGGCGGCATAAAACTGTCCTATTTAATCAAGAATAAATTTGTAATTAACAAATTATTCTCACAATTTCACATGTTTCAGTTTATAATGAATAGTTTTTTTTTAATTATAGGAGTCCATTCTTCATTTTTTCCATTTATTTAAGTTGATAAAATCACTATTCCAATTAGTTGTTCCTCTATTTTAATTAATTATCAATTATTGATAATCATATTATATTATATTTATAATAATTTTCCGTTTTTGTGCTTGATAATTTCTTGTTGTGACTCTCCTACTGCAAAACTATGTGTCAAATGATTAATTAACAAACTCTATTGTTACCGATTAAATTAATAAAATCAAGATCCATAAAAAATTATCCCCACAAATTCTCAAAGTAGTAAGGACCCTTTCAATACTTTCTTCAGCCTTCATAACCCAAAAATAAACTTATCAGACGAAGTCACTCTCGACATCTCCCAAAGGGGAAGAACATTTAAAAAAATAAACCCATTCTCACTTACATCTGGATCAACTTCTTTGGCTAACATATTGATTTCCTCCGGCGTGAGCTGTGACAGCAGCTCATCAACATCAACATCATCGTAATCACTCAGGTCCTTGCCATAGAGCTTGGCAGCCGTCGTCATGGTGCTTTTTTTGTGGGACGCCGATGTCTGGAATGAAACAAACCCCATGAATGAACCTCCAAGCGTATCCCTTCCTCGGCAAAAACACCAAAAGTCATCATTCCACATGCCCCAGACCCCCCAACCCGCACCCAGCGGCGGTAAAAGTCCCCGAAATTCGTGCCCCAAGGTCCCTCACCTGTGCAAACCTTATCAAAATAAACGAAAACCAGGAGATAACGAGCCACAACTGTTACAAAATCTCAAGAGCCCGAACAATCGACTGACAGCGAAACCTCGACTACCCGATTTAATGCTCGAGAGGCAAAACACTACAGTAAAAGCCGGCTGATGCCCTCTGACCCCGTATCGATTTTCATTGACAACTAGACTTGCCAAATTGGCATTACGACCACGTTAAAATACATCAGCCTCCCAACGCCACAATAAAATGCATAAACTCACGATCAATTGAACAGGGTCTTTTGTCGCTCCAGTTGCATTAACTGGATCACCGGATTTATTTTGTTTATCCCAAATTACTAACGGAAATAACAAATGGAGTAAACCTCACCCACTTATTCACAGACGCACGTTTCAATGCGACTGATCTGCACACAGACAGCGCCCTTCGAGCAATCCACAGCTGCTTCGGGCTAACTCGACTTCAAAACAATGGGGCTGGAGGGGGTACAACCGAAGATATTAGGGAGAGGTCGTTACCCTCGAGCTATCACTAATTACGTAATTGTTATTTTGAGCGCTTTTTTTGTCTGGAGAATTTTGGAAATGCGAAAAATTTGAGGGGATGTGGTGGAGTTAGGGGGAATGGTTTATGGGGAATGTAGCGCGCAGGTGGGCCGCGCATCTATTGACGTTTACACGGGCGCGGGAAATTCAAACGAGAGGTTTTCATTTTTTTTCGGGTTTTGAAATGACGCCGATTTTTTTTTTAATTTAATGTTTTAAGTTTAATTTGAGGCGTATCGTTTAATTATGAAATATTGAGAATTACAAATGTGCGTTTATCTTTTAATGAGACAGTGCGTAAACTAATTGATTAATTAATTAATTAATTGTTAAGGTTTCACTTGTTTTCCTATGCACGAGAGAATGCATGAATTAATTAATTACTTCATTAATTTTTATGGTAGAATTCCTCAATTAATTAATTCGCACGTTAGAACGTTAAAATCCATTAATTCGTGGAATTATTTTTGGAGTAATTATCATCACAGTTAATTACTCGGATTGAGGCACTAATTAGTGATGACTCTCGATGATAATTGGGGATTGCAAAGGGAAATGAAATGAGAGACTAGCGGCATTCAGTGACGATTAATTCGACCTCGCGTAATAATGACAATTAATTTTTTTTAATTTCACGTGAAGAGGAACGCGCCCTCGAGCAAGCGCCATTACGCGCCAAGTATTTGACGGGGGAGAATAGCAAGACGGGCTTCACCGTGACCTGTCGTGCCGCCTAAATCCATCATCACTGGCCCTCGGTATACCTGCCGGTACAGCATTTACATCCGAGTGCCTACAGCTGCCTCAGAGATCGGAATGCCCTGCGGTTATACTGGGTTATGCATACATGTCAACTGCCTCATTGCCATTATGCATAAGCGCAACCAGAGTATTCAATTGAATTTCACGATGACGGGGATTGTGAATAGGAGATGTCAATAGAAAGTACCGGAAGTCGCGTGTTCAGTCGAATGAGAGATTTGTTTGAGTATGGGAGAAGGAAATTCCAAGGAGTCTGCTAATATCTTGAATCCCTCTCAATAATACATTTTTAAAATGTTTTTTTACCGTTGTAATTATTTGAAAATCAGATAACAACCGGAAGTATAAATGAAGTTAAAGTTAAAGAAGACCTCATCAGGGGCTTCTTTATTGATGAGATCTTCCCTGAAAGATCAACTTCAACTTCATTTCTACTTCTATAAAATTGCTGAAGACCGCTTAAGCCAACCGGAGCTAATCTGATTTTTTAAATAATACATTTTTATTCTCATGGAGAGGAAAATATCCACTAGATGAGAAGTGGGAGTGAAAGATATTCGTGTATTTTTTGCAATGTCAATATTTAAGGAAATTTAGTACTAATTAGTCATTCAGGCTACATTTAATGGTATTTTTTCGCATTCCTTTCTCATAAATTGATAATGGCAAAATGATTTTTTAGATGAAATTTCAAGGAATTTCACCATCAAGAATTAAAAATGCAACTAAGGTGTTCAATTCAGTAACGAAGTGGTAAAACGGTTTAAGTCGCCTTATCTCTCAGTTAAGTTTTTGAGGAATATTTCCGAATCCAAGGGAGATAGCGACATTTTCGTAATTACATTTGTTGTAGCTCTCAATCGGCTCTACAAAAAAAGTTATAACAAAAATTTTGCTATCACTTGGATTCCGAGATATTCATTAAAAACTGGTCCACAGTCAAAATTGACTTGTATCGTTTTACCACTTCGCTACTGAACTGAATTTCGTGATGAAGGAGTGTGTGAATAGGCGGTGTCAATAGAAAGTCTAGGAAGTCGCGTGTTTAGTCAAATGAGAGATTTGTTTGAGTTTGGGGGGAGGACTGCTAATATGTTGAATCTCTCTCAGTAAGACATTTTTATTCTCGTGAAGTGGGAAATATCCACTAGATGAAAAGTGGGAGTGAAAGATGGTTGAGTATTTTTTGCAATTTCAATATTTGAAAAAATTTGGTACTAAGCAGCCATTCAAGCTACAACCTGTAAATTTCAGTCCAACTGTTCCATAAAAATTCATAAAAATCTGAAAAATTCAAGTAATTATATTCTTCAATCAATTAAAAAATCATCATTTCATGTTTTTTTTCTTCGAAAATTCGAGTAAATTCAGAAATTCTCACTTTACCATTAATTTCTCATTTTATTAATTTTCACGGAATAAATGAACAATTCACAATTCCAATTTCATTCTTCTCAAACTTTTGTATTTTTAACGACCAAATTTTTCGAAATATCCCAAAACCATAAAAATTTCCGAAAATTGCACCGAAAATTAAATTAAAAAAATTTTAACACTGCAATTTCACTCATAACCAACGAATAAATTCCATAACGACCCCAATAACCCCTTCAATCTCATCCCGAAATTCTCAAGGTCACCGCAAACTTTCCCGAAATCCCTCCATAAAAAATAATAGCAGCGAATAAAAAACAAGAAGAAAACTTCCAGGAAATCCCATCAACCCCTCTTCCCTCAAATCATATTCCCCGCAGCATTTCACCTCCAGGACCTCCCGAAGTGATTGCCCACCGCGATCACGGGGGCTTTTTCCACCGCTCGTTCGGACAAGAGGGGTTTCAGAAAATAGCTGAAGCCTCCTCGCTCGGGTCTGGCATCCACCCAAAGGTCTATACTTGGACATCGTTCGTGCCTCGATTATTAATAGTGAGAAACAGCGCGGCCACTGGCCTTCTCGTGAACTAACATAACCGACATCCCCAGAACACCGACTCCCCGACAACACGAACAACGGAACGGGTGATCTGACGCCCGTGACCTAGGCCCGTATTGATGATGACTGCTGCACACTCAACTTCAACGATTTATTTGCACTCACATCTATTCGTGTGGACAAATAAAAATCATTTCCACGAATTAACATTAAAAAAATGTTGAAAGTCAGATGAATTTTTTGTTACTCCATCGTTCGATGAATTATTCATCGATGAATGATTAATAAGTGGGAAATAGTGTGGGTTTTTATGGCAAAGGGAAAAGGAAAACACGAGATTAATTAATTTCCCCTCAAATTCCGAAGATGGAGTAGTTTCTGGGTCATTGTCATGCTCAGTGAGAACTTTACGCAGTTTCTAACGAACTCAATGGGTTCTTGTTTCTATCGTGTGCATTTTAAATACGAGGAGAGTGCGGAAAACAATGGGAGACAGTTTCCTTCCTCTTGGTTTCAACAATTGAAAATACATGATTTTTTCGCGGCTTTCACACTCAACTTCACTGAGGTTTTTTATCTTCAAAGAGTTCACGAATGCAGAAATCACAAATGTTCTTTGCTACCGAAATTTTTAGCTAAAAATTTTATATTTTTAAGGACAAATTCTTGTTTTTATCCCAATCAACTTGTTGAATATTTATCGGAGGCAATAAATTTTATTTTCACACGCGAGTGAATTTCTCCAGAAGCAAAAGCAATGTTAATAATAATCAGAGAGAAATGGGAGCAAAATTGCACTCGAGAAGAAATAATATCTAACAATAGTTGCAGGTGAAAAATACGTGAACGATGATGTTTATTTTTTTGTGCAGTCGAACAAGAAGCTTGACATTATACATGTTGAAACACTGGCCAAAACACTGGCATTTTGAGTGCAAGGAGAATGTAGGAAACAATGAGAGACAGTTTTCCTCCTCTTGATTTCAACAAATGAAAATACATGATTTTTTCGCGACTTTCACACTCAATACCCCAGTGTTTTTTTATCTTCAAAGAGTTCACGAATGGAGGAATAACATATGTCCTTTATTACCGAAATTATTTGTTAGCTAAAAAAAATTATTTGTAACGACAAATTCTTGTTTTTATCCCAATTAACTTTGCGATAAAACAACGCGATCTGCGACAAAAGAATATTTGTTGAAGGCAAATTTTATTTTCACACGCGAACGAATTTTCCCAGAAGCAAAACCCATGATAATAATAATCAGAGAGAAATGGGAACAAAATTGAACTCGAGAAGAAATAATATCCAACAATAGTTGCAGGTGAAAAAAACGTGAAAGATGATGTTTATTTTTTCGTGCAGTCGAACAAGAAGCTTGCACATTATACATGTTGAAACACTGGCCAAAATACTTGGCAGACCGACACGCGAAGACACGGATTCTTTAGTAATCTTATGATTAATCTACGTCACATGGTGCTGAGATGTCTTTTTATGTCATGCAAAAATTGATAAACTGTCTTCCTGCATTATCACGGCATTTCGATCCACTTGGTGCGCAATTTTTCTCGGCAATGGTGGAAGTACGCATGAACA